CCTTCATGATAAAAAATTCTTAGGAAACTAGGTGAGTATGTACAAAACTGTAGCTATCATAATGCTGAAATATTGAATGCTTTTTTCTATGAGTTCAGGAACAAGACAAGGAAGACCATTAGCACAGTTTTTTCAGCCTTGTCATGGAGGTCCTAACCAATTTGGTGAAGAAAAATAAAAGATAAAAAATGGAAAAGAAGTAAAACTGTCTTCACAGATGATATGATTGTATACTTGGAAAATCCAAAGGGATCTTCAGACTATTAGAATAGGAAACAAAGTCAGTATTCAAAAATCAATGATATTTTTGTAGACTAACATCAGACAATTGGAAAATGAAATAAGAAAACAGGTTTACAAAGCAGTGCCCCCTCAATTTAATGAAAATGTGCAAGACTGCTGTATAAACTCTACAAAGCATTACTGAGAGAAACAAATGACAACCTAAATAAAAGGAGAAAGATCATGTTTATAGATTGGAAAACTCAAAATTGTTAAGATAATTCTTCCTGGACTATACTCATTCCCAATTAAAACTCCCACAAGTTGGGGTGTGGGGAAATAGAAAAGCCAATTTTAAAACATATTTGAAAATGTAAAAGGACCTAGATTAGCAAAGGCAATCTTAACAAAGTTGGAATGCTTGTATTACCAGATACCAAGACTTTATAAAAAGCTACAGCGGGCGCCTGGGTGGCTCAGTTGGTTAAGCGACTGCCTTCAGCTCAGGTCATGATCCTGGAGTCCCGGGATCGAGTCCCACGTCGGGCTCCTTGCTCAGCAGGGAGTCTGCTTCTCTATCTGACCCTCTTCCCTCTCGTGCTGTCTATCTCTCATTCTCTCTCTCTCAAATAAATAAATAAAATCTTTAAAAAAAAAAGCTACAGTAATTAAGACAGTGTAGTACTGATGTAAAAATAAACAGGTAAATGGGACTATATGGAATTTCCAGAAATAGACCCATTTGTGTATGGTCACCTGATTTTTCTACAACACTACCCCTAGAATTCTGTGGAGAAAAGGTGGCCTTTACAATAAAAGGTGCTAAATCAGTTGGATATCTGTGTGGGTAAAAATGAAACTTGGCCTTTACCTCAAACCAGACACAAAATTAAGATGGATTATCAAATAATATAGGTGAAAATAGTAAAGAACCTAGAAGGAAACATAAGGAAATATCTTTAGAGGCAAAAGTTTCTCGAACAAGATGTAAAACAGTGAAGATTCATTTGGGATATATATAAAGAATTTCTACAGATCAGTTTTTTACAAGACAGTCCAAATGAACTTCACAAAAAAAGATTTCCAAGTGGCCTATTAAGCATATGAAAAGATATTCAACATTAGTTATCAGGGTAAAGCAAATTAAAATCTCATTGAATACTACCATTCACCCAATGAAACGGCTAAAATTTAAGACTAATGTAGAGCAACATTGTTGGTGGGTTGTAAATTGGTATAACCACTTTGGGAAACTGGTATATCAGCTTCTTAAGCTGAGCTTTCCCCATGACCCAGCAATTCTCCTATGTTTTACATATACCCAAGAGAAATGTATGCAAATATTCATGAGCATTTGTAATAGCGCCAAAGTAGAAGTGACCCAATAGAATGGATAGATACAGTATGGTGTTTGATAACAATGCAATACTTCAGGTGGCTGCTGAACACAGTAAATGGATAGATTTCAGTGAGCAAAAGAGTATATACTGTATATTTCTATTTATCCAAAATTCAAAATTGGATCAGATTAATCATACTGAGAAGGTAAGAATACTAACCTTGGGCATTATTATTGTATGGTCAAGGGTATAAGGGAAACTTCAGGGCTGCTGGAAGTATTCTGTATCTTGCCAGTGGATGGTGATTACTTTTCTTTTTAAATATATTTTTTAAAGATTTTATTTATTTGTCATAGAGTGCACAAGCAGGGGGAGAAACAGGCTCCCCGCTGAGCAAGGAGCCCCATGCGGAATTCAGTCCTAGGACCCTGGGATCATGACCTGAGCTGAAGGCAGACACTTAACCAGCTAAGCCACCCAGGTGTCCCTGCCCTAGATTTATTGAGCAAATGCCCATAATGTTAGTGTACTGTACTGTATATGTGTGATACCTCACAGTATTTTCTAAACAGTATGTTGTAATGGTGATTTTACCTGGTGTGCAATATTACCTGCTGAAATTTTTTTCTTGGAAACCTTTGACTAAAAAAATTTTTGTGGTAGTAGAGGAGAAAGAGTTTTGAGTTATGCTAAATTTTTCTCTGCTGCTTTTTACTCCCTCTAGTCCCATAAAACCTGGGCTCCCTGATCTTGTGCAAGGTTTTTAACTCTCTTGTATAGTGTAAATAATGACGACCCTTTCTAATTCTTGGGATATCAAAGAGATTAAATGAGATTGATGTGAAATTGCTTTGCACCTACTGAATTATGCAGATTTATAGTATCTTCATAATCCAACTAGATACTTGTATCTAAACTCATATACCCAAATTCTGGAATCTCATTGATATTGTAATGATCTAGTTCCCCTTTGTAACAGCTTGCCTTGATTTATTCCTTTTTTTTTCAGATGACTGGGAGAAATTTGAAATGCTCTTGGAAATTTGGGTATACTTACTGGTGGGAGTACATAAGGGAACAGGACTTTTGAATTGACAGCTGGGATTGTCCTTAGCTGGCTACCATCTTTTCCCAAATATTTAGCTAATTTATTCCTAAAATTCGGTCGTTTGTCAAATGCCTAACCTTTAGAAAAACCCTTAGCTTCCCTAACTGCATTTCATCAACTCTTAGAAGTGATTTGATTATGAAATGCACTACTATTTTATATGCCACTGAGAGGCAGAAAGTGACTGCCAATTAAAATTGTAAGAAATTATTGATTGTAAAGCATCTCCTAACTCATAGATCTTAATTAGGGAAAAACATGCATCTTAAAATCAATGAAATTTCATGAGGCATGTTTTTGTTTGGGTAAATTTTTAGTTTCTGTGGATTAGCATGACTTATAAGTTGAATTGTTTTTGGCTCTGTAAGAATGTTAAAGTACCCCTTAGTGTAAATAAATTACTTGGGAGGTCAAAATTAAACACACACATAATGTACAGAGAAAATAAAACAAATATGAGATAAAATATTCACCACTGTAATTTAGACACTTTAAATTGACACATCAGAGTGACCCACACTAGTTTTAGTAATGATTGTCATCAAGTTACAACTAAATGTTGGTAACCTAAACAGTGTTTTATTACTACAGAATCATAACAGAAATTGTGGAAATTTTTCTAGGAGCCAGAAGTATTTTGTCTGTCTTGTCCATTGCTCTTACCTTTAAATAATTATTTTTAGGTGAATATTTGTCATCTGAGATCACAAGAGATCTTTAATCCTTTGAGAAAAACACTATTTAGTATACCAAAAAGTAGATAGGTACTTGATGCACTGATGGTAGGACTGTATTTTTTAACCATCATTTCCCATGCTTTTAAAACTTAATGCCAAGGTTAAAAATTTTACAGAAAATTGAATCTAAGCTAGTATTGTAGACACTTAATGGAAAGTACAAAGTAAGGTGCCCATTTTGGTCTTAGAAAAATCCAGATATCCATGGGAAGTAGATAATTGATATTTGAGAGCTAGTACTCATACAGAAGCTATGCTAAAGTTCTCATAATAAAAGCAGTTCTGCTGATCATGTTTTGAATTTCAGGGATGATCTTATTAACTGTCCTGTTTGCTAGAGAACATTTCAGCAATGTCTCTGTCTCTTCTGTTACTTAGATATTACTGTATTAATGGAATAGATACATGGATGGCTTTTGCATGTGGGGGCCTTTTTTTTTTTTTTTTAAACCTCTTGACCTGACAAAAGAATCAGCAGTTTTTGACAAGAAATGTGTGGACTTAATTGGAAGTGGGAAGTGGTAGGGATATATAGAGATACAGTTTCTGCTTCATTTTTTTAAATGCCTTTTTCAGTTAAGATTAAATGGGAGCTAGCAGTCTATTTAGAGAGAGCCAATGGAGAAGATAATGATGAGAGGAAATGATTACAAGTTCAGTTCAGTAGGGCAAATAAGGAACTTCTCATGTACCATTCCTCCCCACTCCGTTCCGGAAGTTACTTATTCATGGATTTTATTGCTCATTCATTTGACAAATGGCTTTCCTCCATCTGAATAGCTTTTAGAGTTTTTTATATAATGCCCTACTGTGAACATAATAATGCATTAAAATTTAATAACTATCTGGTACCTTTTAAATTTTAATTTTAAATTTGTTTTGATCAGAAAATGGAGGTGGGGGTGGTTAATTCTTAGGACTGCTCCTGATATTCCAGGGAAAGGGAAGTGTGTGGAACTAAATCATCTGCCGACAGCTACTTTTTGTTTAATTTTCCTTTCTTCATAACCACTGGTTCTTTTTTGTTAAGATTTTATTTATTTATTTGACAGAGAGACAGCGAGAGAGGGAACACAAGCAGGGGAGGTGGGAGAGGGAGAAGCAGGCTTCCTGCTGAGCAGAGAGCCCGATGCCTGGCTCAATCCCAGGACCCTGGGATCATGACCCGAGCGGAAGGCAGATGCTTAATGACTGAGCCACCCCGGCACCCCAACCACTGGTTCTTAAAGATGGTATTTTGGCCTTTTCCTAAGTGTAAGACTTTGCTGAGAGAGTGGGCTCTCCTCAGAGGTGCTGTCCCTGCAGCTGTTTGGGTCTCTTGGGCTATGAGGTTGGCCCCTGGAGAGCAAAGAGGACTGCGTTTCTGTGGCAGCAGCCTTGAGGAGCATCACTAGGAACCAGCGACAATAGAGATGAAAGCCAGAGATCACTGGAATAATCTTACTGTCAGCCATAGGACATAACAGGGTGTCTGGTAGTTTACTTCCTCTGTGACTCTCCTGATCTTCAAAATATGGGCATGACTTTTTTTTAAGGATTATTATTTTATAGATAAATTTTTTTAAACTGACCATTTTACTTATTGTTTAACAGTACGAGGATGTCGTCCAGGAAAGATTGTGCAGATGACTGAAGCAGAAGTTCGGGGCTTATGTATCAAGTCTCGGGAGATCTTTCTCAGCCAGCCTATTCTTTTGGAGTTGGAAGCGCCGCTGAAAATTTGTGGTATGTAAATAGGTAGAGTTGGAAACAGTCTATTTTGAATACCAGTTTTTCTCTCTATTTACACTGAAGGTGATCTAGAGAGAACATTTTAAAATTTATGTTTAAGAGGGATTGATAGGTTTGATTACATAAAATATAAAAATTGAAACTTTCATAAAATGATGTTAGAGACAAGAAGAAAATGATTGTTACATATACATCACATAAAAAGATTGCTATGAAAGATTGTTTCTTAGAAACAAGAAAGACCATACAAGAGAAAGATTTTTTTTTTAAAGGTAGATTTTAGAAGAAATTCAAATGGCCAATAAACATGAGATCCTCAGCCTCACTAGTAATCAGTGAAATGCAATTTAAAAACAAATCCCAAACTGTAGTCACATTGAAAAAAAAAATGTCAAAAACTGGTAATCCAGTGTTGTCAAGGATGTGGAAAAATAGGCATTCTGATACACCAGTTACAAAAAAATAAGAATAGAGTTTTGGGGGTCAGAATGGCAGTATCCATGGTGTTCTACTTTTGTTGTGATTTTATTTTGAAGATTATATAACATTACAGATTATATTTGTTTTTTTAAGTCTTACAGTGGCTTCTGGCCAAAAACAAAAACTTACAACCATAGGTTGAGTGATCACATCGTTATAGCCAGAAAAATTGTTGTACAGAAAGTATTTTTCTGTAGTTCACATAACAGTGGGAAGTGGGGTAAGTATTGTATCATACTGGCTTTTGGTTTGATAACTTGTAGTGGCTATTAGTGTTTATGACATAGCTTTTATGGACTTAATTGTCATCTTTACTCAGTCAAGAATTATTTCTATATGTAAAAATTTTCATTGTCCTGCATGTTTCTTCGTGATCCACGTTCATACCTTGTAAACTGCAGCTTGGTGCGCTCTTTAAGTACTTTTTTTCTCTTTCTTCTTGTGTTTAAGTCATGTGCTTGGTGCTCCTTGGTACAGTACCTAGCTAATAAAAGATACTAGCTAAGGAGATGTTTGTTGAAAACATTAATTAGCTTAGTGTATCACCTTTAAGTAAGAGGTAGCATGAAATTTTGTGGATGGGAGCCTGGCTAGCTCAGTCATTAGAGCACCCGACTCTTGATCTAGGGTTGTGAGTTCAAGTCCCATGTTGGGTATAGAGATTACTTAAAATCTTTTTAAAAAAAAGAAATTTTGTGGAAATGATCAATCTCTTCTGTGATCTAAATGAAGCAAGTGTAGTTATTTATAACATCTTAAAATGATTCAAATTCTCTCTAAGGTACTCTTTAAAGTGCTTTGATATAGAAATAATTTGAGAGTAATAGGAGTTAGTTATACTAAATATTTCTAATTTCTGGCTATTTTTCTCACTTTTTGGTATAACAGAGTAACCTTTGTTAAACTACCAGCTAATAAGGGTAAGTGTATTAGTTATCTGTTGTATAACAGATTACTCCATAACTTTATGCCTTAAAATAGCATGAATTTATCACCTCACAGTTTCTGTGCGTCAGGAATTCAGGCACAGCTTAGCTGTGTCCTCTGGTTCTGGGTCTCTCACGAGGCTGTGATCTAGGCATCATCTGGAACTGCAGTCATCTCAAGGCTCAATGGTGAAAGGGTTCCTTTCGTTATGGACCGATGAACTGAGGGCTTGGTTCCTAATGAGCTGTTGGCCAGAGGCCTCCTTCAGTTCTTTGCCATGTGTACTTCTCCGTGAGGCAGCTGGCTTCAGCGTCAAGAATGAGAGAAGGCAAGAGAGTACAAGCAGAATGGAAGTCATGATCTTTAGTAACCTAATCTCAGAAGTGACAGCCCATCCCTCTTTCGCTGTATCCTGTTTGTTAGAAGCAAGTCAGCATCTCCAGCCCACATTCAAAGGGAGAGGATTGCACAGGGGTGTAAACATTGGGAATCATTTGAAGCTGCTTCCCACAGTAACCAGGTGTTCTAAAATCGGCTTTTTCTATTTTCAGGAGATATTCATGGACAGTATACAGATTTACTGCGATTATTTGAATATGGAGGTTTCCCCCCAGAAGCCAACTATCTTTTCTTAGGAGATTATGTGGACAGAGGAAAGCAGTCTTTGGAAACCATTTGTTTGCTATTGGCTTATAAAATTAAATATCCAGAGAACTTCTTTCTGTTAAGAGGAAACCATGAGTGTGCTAGCATCAATCGCATTTATGGGTTCTATGATGAATGTAAGTAAAAATAAAAATTTATTTTTTATTAATGGGAAAATTCCCTAATATTCCCTAAGATAATCTTCTGGTTCAAAAGAGTTCCTTTGATTCAGTTTTTTTAAAAATACAATTTATCAAGTATTGGACCAAGAAGAGTCTTTCGTGGAAGAGGGCCTTGAAGCTGGGAAACATGTTACTAATTAAACTGGTTCTGTGGGATCTCCTTGGTCATGTTATTTCAGGTTGACTGCAGCTTATTACTCAACTGAAAGGCCCTCTTGTAATTAGTTTACAGAATAAAATATCCACATGAAACAGAGGTCACTATAGATAACAGCCTCTAGTTTTCTAGTGTCTATTAAGATTTTCGTTCTCAGCGTTCTTAATAATATGACGGAAATTCTCATTGGCCCTGTGTCATAAGAAGTATTGAAAAGTTGTATGAAATTATTTAAAAGTTGAAGTTTAGTATTAGAATTTTAATCTGTGCTTATAAACCTACAGAGATAAGGATACTAACAACTCTCTTGTATCTTACTGTACTCTCTTTCATCAGTAAGAAATCCCTGATTTGTGTTTTGTAGTAGTGTTTTCCAAGTATTATTACTAAATTACTACATTCGAATTTGCTCTTGTTAGACCATGGGAAAGAATATATGTTTGGTTAATTATAATTTAGAACCAGTTTACAGTGGTTTTCAAATTGAATTTATTGTTTTTTGGTGCCGAATTCTCCATTAGAATCTATTTTTGCTTTTTTCCATCCTTAAATATAGTAGAGTCCTATTCAAACTCCTGTCTCCTTGGTTTATATAATCATTTATTTGACTAATGTTTGAGGAAGTTATATATCAGGCACTATTTTAAACACTAGGAATGTAGCAGTGCAGAAGACAGATAATCTCTGTTCTCATGGAGCTCTGTTCTAATAGGAATGGTGCCACATTTGATTTTACATTGCATTTTTCTCTCTCAGGTGTAGTGTGTGGTTTCACCTGTTTAAATCAGACCAGTAGACAGGAAGTGGATTATAGTACATCTAACTATAACCACTTTTCTAAAGCTATATCAGGAATAGAGGTGCATTCTTAAGGATAAAATACGGGCTTGAATATCGTCAAGGATAGAAATGACATCAAATGAAATAATGTATGTTAAACACTGCTTTGAGTTACACTTTTTCATTGAGAGGCAAGTTATGGCATAAAAACATAGGAAATTAGTGCTTGTGTGTTTCCTTCCTCCCCTGGGTTAGTTGTTGCAACTTATTACCCAGTTCAGGAAAATCAAGTAACTCTAAAAAGGTGAACAACACTTGAGATTGTCTTTGTTGTAGCTCTTTATTCTAGACTAAGGAAAATGATAGCCTTTGTCTCTATTTATACTTGCTGTAGTGCCAAGTTGTAATTCACTCAGAAGTGGATACCAGTCAGGCCCTTGGAAATTGTCCTTTCTTGGCAGTAAATTTATGCTGTGTTACTGAGTGCCTGAGAGTCAAAATGGACAGTCTCTAGAGGCACCCCTTTCACTTCAGCTTATTTGGCTAGTATTTAATGTGCATGTTAAATGGAAAAGATAAACTAATAGTCTATTAGACTGTTTCAAAATTGCTTTATTATAGTGATCTTAAAAGACAAAAGTGTCTGATATATTTGTTCCATAAAATACATAGCAGTCTTTGAGGTTTTTTTTTAACTTTTACGGGAAAGTGCTGAATGTTACATTTTTAAAAGTATACAAGAAATACTTATTCATTACAGAAAAAAGAAAGTGCTGTATAAAGAATAAAATTGAAATTATTCATAATCCTGTAGCTATGAGATAACAAAATAGGTTTAATTTATTTATTCTATTTGCTTATTCTTTTCATAGGCAAACGAAGGTTTAATATTAAATTGTGGAAGACCTTCACTGATTGTTTTAATTGTCTGCCTATAGCTGCCATTGTGGATGAGAAGATTTTTTGTTGTCATGGAGGTAAACTATTAGATTTGCTTTATGGATTTTTTTTTTACTGTCCTTCATTGTTTAGAAAAGACCTATAGTAACTAAGATGCATGCTATGGGAAAACAAAGCAGTGCTTGTGTGAAAAATCATTAGAACTGTTCTAAACATAGCTAAAATCCCTTTTAGTAACCAGAAATTTATGATTATTTATACATAATGAAAATGGAAATTTAGTTTAGTACTTGTCTTTAAAGAATTTCACATGCAAGGAGGATAACTGTAGTTTTGTTTGAAAAAACGTCTTCCCTTTGCTTTAGTTTTGACAGAAAGATACCCCTACTATCAGTAAAAATGAAAAGATCATGATTATTTTCCTGCCCATATTAAATACCTTTCATCAGAATCCAAATGTAATTGGGTTTATTATTCCCATATGCCAAGAGTTCTGGGCTTTATGTAATATGCCCACTTTCATCCTTAAGATAATTTTTTGATGGAATAAGTTATTCTTAAGGTTTTATTTATTTGAGATAGAGCAAGAGAGAGCACAGGTGGGGGGAAGGAGCGGGGGGAGGAGCAGAGGGAGAGGGAGAATCAGGCTCAGGGAGCAGGAAGCCCAATGCAGGGCTCATTCCCAGGACTCTGGAATCATGACCTGAGCCGAAGGCAGACACTTATCCAACTGAGCCACCCATGTGCCCCAGAATAAGTTATTCTGTATGCCTTGTTAAATAAGCATATACGAAAGTTCATTTGAAAAATTAACATATGTGTCTAGCACTTGGCTAGGTGCCATGAAAAGATATAGATTGTGTATGATCTGGCTGTCTTGAGAAATTAAAAACCTGATAAAATGTGTATTTCCAAAAAAGTAAGAAAAAGTATATTTCAGGGGCACCTGGGTGGCTCAGTTGGTTGAGCATCTGACTCGGTTTGGGCTTAGGTTGTGATCTCGGGGTCATTGGATCTAGCCCTGTGTGGGGCTCCGTGCTCAGCAGGGAATCTGCTTCTCTCCCTCTCCCACCCCCCCATGCACTCTCTCTCTCTGAAATAAATAAAATAAATCTTTAAAAGAAAAAGATAAAATGTATTTCAAAACAGATACTGTGTAATGAAAGGAATTTAATTATGTCAAAGTACTTGTAGAGACAGTAATTTTTGTGAAGTCTGGAAAGGGAGAGAATTGTTAGGCAAATGTTTATGGAAATGTGGGTTTTAGAGGATTTTGGAGAGGCAAAGAGAATTTTAGAGAGTCTTTTATGTTGTCTAGTTCAAGGAATGTGTGAGGACTGGCCTAACTAGAATGTCAAGTACATGTTGGGGAATGATACATATCAGATTATAGAGATTTGAATACTGAGCAAAGGAGTTCGTTGAATCGTTTAATTACCATATTGGGTTTTTGTACATGGAAATAATTTAATAAAAATACTGTAAGAAAATTATTTTATTAATATGCAGGAAGAATTAAGTGGGGAGATGTTGAAAAGGTAGGTGTACTTGTCTAGGCCTGAGGTAAAAAATGATTTATTCTCTGATAGAACATAAATCACTATATTAATTGAAACATATTTTATAGTAAATACTAAACATTTAGGAAATTGTAGCTCTTGCACATTGGTATGGCTAAAAATAGAAATTAGAAGTATGTGATGGCACTTGGATTTATCTATAAAAGAGAAATACTAGCTTATATTTATGTACTACTCTAAAGATTGCAGGGTATTTTCTTGCTTATCCTTCTGATCAACAGTTAGGCTTTTATGAAAATGAGCATATTGGAGTGGGATGTAGGAAGGTCTTATGGGCTAGATGAGGCATTTAAACTTGGAAGTAAATATGTTTAGGACTGGGTAGTAAGAAGTGACAGAAGTGGTAGGAAGTATTGAAATTGGGTATGTTCCTGTAGAAGGGCAGGGAATGGTTGGAAAAAAAAGAGTGGTAAGATTTCTTTCCTTGAGAAATCTTTTGTAATGAAAGGGAATTCCATTACCCTGGTAGGGAAAAGTGGAGAATACTTAATCATATTGTTCGATTACATCAAAGTGGGATTCTATTTAATAACTCAGTATATTAAAGATAACATTAAAAAGAACACCTAAGTGTGTTTAATTTCACATAGTGAATCTACTTTGATTAAATGTTTCTTTATTTGAGTGAAAATTGTTTAGATGTCAGTAGCATGACTGATCTTTTATTTATAGGACTATCACCAGACCTGCAATCTATGGAGCAGATTCGGAGAATTATGAGACCCACTGATGTCCCTGATACAGGTTGGGTGTATATAGAGAACTTTAATTAGTTGTCTTTCCTAAAATGTTTACATATTTGAACTTAATTATATTATATATTTAGTGGAATTAGGATTGGTTTGTGTAATAAATAATAGAGCTTTTTTAATCATCAATAAGCTAATTAGAGGTTACTTGCAGTAATATATTTCACCTCCCACTAATTATTTACTGAGGTGCCATACTTTTAAATTTCATATATAACCGTAGTATGGTTCTGTTAAACTTATATATCACAAAAGATCTTGTTATTGATTCCCCTTACCTTCCTATCATGGCCTCATTCATATCAGCATTGCTTATGTCCTTCAAAGACTTGTTAAAAATTAGTCAAAAGGAGGACACCTGGCTGGCTCAGTTGTTAGAACATGTGACTCTTGATCTCAGAGCCAAGAATTCAAACCCCAAGTTGGGTGTGGAGCCTACTTAAAAAGAATAAATTTTAAAAAAATGTTTTTAAGGATTTTTTAAAAATTTAATAAGTTTTTTAATTAAAATAATCTTTCTTAGCTGAAGATACAGTTGCCTTTTTAAAAATTATCTAGTAGTTTTCTGTTACTTTTTGCATCTTTTATATTTCAAATTTGTAGAGTTCAGAAAACCGTAGAGATACATGGTGAGTTTTGTGAAAAATTTGTGAAAGAATAATGAAAATTAATTCTTCAGAGATTCAAAATAACTCTTGGGTAAGTGAAGCAAGTCAGAACAAAAGCAAATAAGTTCCAGTTGAGGATAAATGCTGTGTTGATCAACAAATGAGCCTAATGTAATTTTATAAATAAATTCTGGCCACAGTTGCCTAACTTGTCTTTTGGCTTTTAAATGGTAATTATTCATAGTTGAGTGCAAGTGTATGTACTAAGATGTGTACTAATCATGGCATTCATATCATAAAGTGCTATGATAACCTATGAATTGAATGCAGTAAGGTTGTTCTGCTTTTCATTTCACCTTTTGCTAAAAATATCAGTACCTTTCTTTGTGCCATTTTCTGACACTCATTGTATGTGGTTTTTCCACAATACACCATTTTTCCACAACACACCCCATTCTCCAACTCTTAAGTGAGTGTCTAACAATTTAATTCAGTTCTGACACTAACTCCTGGAGTTGACCAGGACTCCACAGAGTAAGGACTCCATTCCACAAGACTGCCCCCGCTTAGGTTGTCAGCCTCAAGTGATATTCTCTGGAGACCCAAACTGCTGCCCAGCCAAAATTCTGGAATTCCCACAACTACCTCCTCAGATGCTTTACTTATATTTATCAGCTTATCATAAAGGGATGTACAACTCAGGACCCGCCAAATGGAAGAGATTTCATGGGGCAAGGTATGGCAAGGGGACATTGGTTGGTGAATAGCTTCCACACTCTTTGGCATCAGTATGTTCAACAACCGGAAGCTCCCCAAGTCTAGTTCAAGAGTTTTCATAGAGCTCAGTTTCCAGCTCTCCTCTCCAGAGGGAGGGGACAGCTGAAAGTTCCAACCCTCTAATCATGTGTTTGGTCTTCCTGTTGACTGGCCCCATCCTGAAGGGCTCTAGGGGCTCCTGAACCACTTCATTAGCATAAACTCAGGTGTGGTGGAAAGGGGCTCCTTATAAATAACAAAAGATATCCCTGTCACTCAGGAAATTCCAAAGGCTTTAGGAGCTCTGTGCCAGGAATGGGAACAAAGACCAAATGTATTTTTATTATATCACACTGTCTCACCATTAAAAGCATTAATAGGGGCACCTGGGTGGCTCAGTCAGTTAAGCAGCCAGCTCTTGAACTCAGCATCCTAGTTCAAGCCACGAGTAGGGCTCCACTCTGGGCATGGAGCCTACTTTAAAAAGGGGGGGCGGGGGGCATTAACATAAGCAAAACTGTCCTTTCAGTTTCTACCAGACCTTTTTTTTTTTTTAATAAATTACATCATTGGATTAATTGTCCCATTATTATTTGTGTAATCAGACTCACCCTGTATGTATCATACTCATCAGTTCTCAGCAAACTTGAACATCTTCAAAATGAGGATTGCTTAGACTGCCATAGGGTCTAGAAATCCTTTATATATTAAGACCATATAAATGAAAAACCAAAGGTCTTGTAGCTTACTGAAAAGAGGATTGTTTATGGGTAATTTTGTAAAGGGGAGTTGATTACTCATAAGTAGGGCTGGACTAGATGGTTACTAAGTACATCTCTTTTTTTTTTTCTTTCCATTTTCTACTCATAAGATCCAAACAGTCTATAAAAAAAGTAGTCATTAAAAAATATTCATGAACCAATACCTAAGCAAAACATGGCTAAACCTTTAAATTGAACTGTTAAGAACATACATTTGGCTATTTGATTTCAAGTATGATTGGATCGTTTTGCTCAGACTGAAAGCCTGATAATATCACTCAAAATGCTACTCATGATTAAACATCAACCATTATGAACAGGTGTATAGATCCTCTTGTCAGTAAGCCACTGACATTGCATATTATAGTAACTTGCCTCAACTTACTTGTGCAAGTAACAATTTGTGTTGAGTACAAAAGGTAAAAAAGCATGCATTTAATCAGATTTTGATTATAATTATAGAATATATTTGACTAAACCTAATAGAAACTTGTTATTTAAATAATAGGGCATATTGTATTACTATATTGTACACTTGAAACTAATATAACGCTGTAAGTTAACTATAATGGAATTTAGAAATAAAATAAATAATGGGCCATTTATTTAAAATCTTTTAAATAAGGTACAATATAAATACATATTTCATGTCATTACATCTTCAGATTCTGTTAACATAGTTCAGACATAAGTCACTTTCAAGGGTGAAGCAAGTTTTTGAAATGCTGAAAATGGACATTTTAAGCCTGGGTGTTCTCTGTAATCTTCAGAAGTTTAATTTATAAATTAATACATTTTTAAGAACAGCCAAATGATTATGATGCTTGTTCATTAGGAATTTAATTATAAAATGTGGAACCTTGACTCTTGAGATTCTTGTCTTGATTCCATTAAGGTTGAAAAATGCCACATTGTTGTTACCATTATTTGATTTTATATGCATCCAGACTGTCATATTTGCCAAATAATTCCAAAAGCAACTACATCCTAGTTTTATTGTCACCTTAAAATTAAAGATTAACATCTTGGCCTCCTGCTCATTGCTTCACCTGTGCGAACAAACTGGAAAAAGTACCATTATAGAGCACTGGTGGTGTGTTGGGGTTGGTGTTTTGTGTGTTCTAAAGAATCAGTTTGTGATTCTTTGAAAATCAGAAAAAACTTGCAAATTGAGACTATCCCAGTGGGTTTTGTATGCTGATGGACTTCTTCAAGCATCATAGCTGGAGCTTAGAAAATAGTAATAGAAATTAAGAGTACATTGCCACCAATTTTACAAGGTATTTTAGATAATTCCCCTATTAGGACAAACTATATCATAACTCAAAAAGTTCTCCTTTCCTGTTAGAACCTGTATTATGAAGTTTATGAATTATAAAAAAAAAAGTCTTGAAACTGGCTTATTTTAAAAATAAATCATCCCTTAGCACTGGTTTTTCCTTCCCTTAGCACTATAACTCTTACAAAAGTACTTAATATCACCATCTCAACATCCACCCCCTCTTCATCTCACTGTAGTTTGACTTTTAACCATTTTCTTCCCATCCATCAAGAAACTGCTTTCGTTAAGGTCTGCTGGTGTAATTGTAAGTGGCACATTTTTTGGTTTTTTTGTCCTGTTCCACTTACTCATGGTACTTGAATCTTAACCATTTCCTACTTCTGGATAATTCTTACCCCTTTCAGGAGATCTCTACTGTTCTAATCTCTTCCTTTTGTTTTGATTATTCCTTCCCAGTATTTTTTGCTCATTCCCCTTTCTCCTTCCTCTGCCTGCATTTTAATGTTTGCTTCCTTAGAGTTCATTTACTGGTCTTCTCACTTGACATTCCCAAGGTAGTCTGAGTCCCTCGTAAGATTATACAATAATGAGCATGACGAAGATACTCAGATAAGTATTTTTAGCTCTGACCTCTTTTCTTATATGCCCAGAACTAAAGCCAGGGATCTGTTCTGATTTTGTTCATCCATATTTCATTTAAATCCTCCAGACTTTTACAGAAAATGTTTTCTTCCTTCAAATTGATCATTAGGTCAAATACAATTCCAGGGAAATCTCAGTTGGATTCACGGAATTACACAATCTGATTCAGAAGTATATATGTGAAAGAACAAAGGATTTAAAGTAACCAAGACAATCCTGAAGAAAAATACTAAGTGGAAATACTACCCCTACCAAATATATAGATGTATTTAAAAACTTCGGTGTCTTATTGGCTTAGGAATAAATAAAATAGATTAATTGAATAGGTTGGCACCCAGAAATAGTGTAAGTTTTCTCAATTCAGGAAATGCTGCTGGGTCAATTGCTTATCCGTGTGGAGAAACTATGTACAAAAGATGAATAGCCTTTTCCATACATTGTGTGCTTAGAGTGTGCCATACACACATTTCCTATATGTGGAAAGAGTTGGAAAGTGCTACTTTCAGCCAGGCAAAATTACATTTATATGGTTGGGCTAGCAAACGTGGCTAAATTTGGTAGGCTGGGATACTAGGGAGCAAGTGATTATTACTATTTATTAAAGGGTAAGAGGGCACGAGAAGAAATGTGATACAGATATACTTTATTTTATAAACTTTGTTTTGTTTTTTCATTGCCATGTTTTCATTCTTTAAAGGTTTGCTCTGTGATTTGCTGTGGTCTGACCCAGATAAGGATGTGCAAGGCTGGGGAGAAAATGATCGTGGTGTTTCCTTCACTTTTGGAGCTGATGTAGTCAGTAAATTTCTGAATCGTCATGATTTAGACTTGATTTGTCGAGCTCATCAGGTATGATATAAAACTTTTGAATATTTTGATATTAACCACACAAATCTGCTTTTTTTATTTTTGAGGAAACTGAGATCCAAGAAGGTTAATTATACGAGGAAAGTAGGAGAGGTGACGCCTATACCTTAATCTCATAGTTAACAATCTAATAAATTGTTAACCCTTTTTCACCCTCTTGGGAGGAAATGTTTCAAACTAATTTTTTTTTTTTTTTGGTGTTTGAAGCTTTCTAGAAACATTTGATCCCATTTTTAATATGATGTTTATGTATTTTAGATAAGAATCCAATGATAATAGTATTAAAGGACATTTTTGAGACAGTTGGGAAAATTCAGTTATAGACTGGGTCTTAGATATTAAGGAGTCGTTGTTTTAGCTTTGTGATAATAGCATTATTATGTGAGAAAGATGTCCATTCTTTTAGAAATGCATACTCAAGTATAGAGAGGTAAGATGACATGTCTAGGATTTGCTTTAAAACATATCAGCAGAAGGGCCCCTGGCTGGCTCCGTCAGTAGAGCATGCAACTCTTGATCTCAGCCTGGTGAGCTCGAGCCCCACGTTTGGTGTAGAGATTACTTAAAAAAAAAATCAGAAAGAAAAGGGATAAATGGAACATATGTAGCAGAATCCTGGTAATTATTGAACCAGGGTAGTGAGTAAGGAGAGTTTATTGAATTCTACTCTATATATACAGTTTAGGTTTACTTGTGGTTGTTTTTTTTCTTAATGTCTACCTCCACTACTATAATGTATACTCTTTAGGGAGGAAATTGTGACTTGTTGACTTCTAAAAATCCGTGCCTTGCAAACTTAGATACTGCATGCATTTAGTGTTTGAATAAATGAATTAAAAAACGCTTATTTTAATGATTTAATATATCAAGTTTTCATGCTCTCTAAAACGTAACTGGTATGAAATACATTCACTGACAGGTATTTTTATAACTTTTTCATGCTACTTTTGAAAGTACTAAAAATATTTGAAATTTTAAGTATAATACTTTTAAAGATTCCTTATTTTTTCTTTGTTAAAGCAGAGTTTATTAAATATATGCTATTCCACAATACTTCCCTTTGGGGGGGGTTTACTCCCCATGACCCTTGACTACATTATATGATCCTGTGGATAAGCAAAGATGACTGGCTTTTCATTTTCTGTGCATGTTGTGTGTCACGTGCCTTTTTTCTAGCAGAATTCCCTAGTTCCATTGAAATGAAGTCACATCCCCAAATCCTTTGCTTTTGGCAGTTTTGGTAAATATTGTATTTATGATTTAACTAATTAATATAAGCCTACTACTAGGGAACAGTGCAGAGTTGCTAAGTTTCCTAATAAGATGCCCACTGATAAAAAATTTTTCAGCTATAGATTTCCATTCACTGATCTTTTCAAAAATGGACGATGTTTTTGTTTTTGTTTTTAAAAAGCCAAGTTATTGAGCTACGTTGGTTTGGACAGTCTTTTTTCCAGACCCTTCCAAAATCCTATTCTGCTTATTTTGAAACATACTATCTCTAAAATTAAGAGACTTATGCTGGGAAACACCACAAACTACAAATACATCCTTTTACAATAAACCTGTTCACTTAGTAAATGTGTGAATGAACAAGTGAACAAGCAAACTAAGAACTAAAATGATATGGGACACCTGGGTGCCTCAGTCACTGAGCATCTGCCTTTGGTTTGGGTCATGATCCCAGGGTCCTGGAATTGAGCCCCACGTCGGGCTCCCTGCTCAGCGAGGAGTTTACTTCTCCCTCTGCCCTTCCCCCTGCTTATGCTCTCTCTCTCAAATAGATAAAATCTGAAAAACAAAACAAAACTAAACTAAACTAAAAGGATATACTGAGTGCCAAACACTATGTATGGCTGAGCTGGAGTAGATAAATGTGACCAAGATCTTGACAGAAAAGGTTAATACCTAAATTCTACCGTGATGTGATTACAGTAGGAGCGTGTACCAGATATTAGGGTAGGAATTATTTTAAAATGTAAATTATTTTGGGGGAGCCTGGGTGGCTCAGTCGGTTAAGTGTCCAACTCTTGATTTCAGCTCAGGTCATGATCTCAGGGTCCTGAGATCAAGCCCCACATCGGGCTCTGCGCAGAGTCTGCTTGTCCCTCTCCCTCTGCTCCTTCCCCTTTATGCACGCGTGCTTAATCTCTCTCTCCCTCTCCCCCTTCTCGTAAATAAAATCTTTAAATAAATAAAAAATAAATTATTTTGGACGTGCTTTCTTATTAGCAAGTATTGTAGGATAATTTTGCTTAAAAGATGCCTAAAAGACAAAAAATTATTCTTGCCTACCATAAATAAATATAAAATATTTACATGTCATTGCCTCTACTTCTCAGATTTGTAGAGCTGAGAAACCTGAGTTGTTTAAATCATTCAGAAATTGGCAACAGATTCTAGAAATCATGTTAAATCATTAAAGAATTAAGGATTCCATAGTTGTGATATAATGCCATCATCTAAGAAGTACGTGGTGTCCCAAGTTCCTATAGATACTGTACTTATTAGCATATGGAGAGCCTTAGAATGGTGTAATTTTTAAACATTTTAGTTATCACAAATGTATTATTTCATTTAAGCTAAATCCTTGCCATTATAGAAGAGGCATACCAATTTTAATATTCTAAGGCAAGTTTAAAAATAAAAATCAAGCTCCCAAAACAAAATAGTGTTAAATTTTAGGTCTTTGTCACATTAATCTCAATTATATAGACAGTTGAGAATTAGCTATAAATAAGTGTGTTTTTTCTTCTGACCTTTCCTTTGACAGGTGGTAGAAGATGGATATGAATTTTTTGCTAAACGACAATTGGTAACCCTATTTTCAGCTCCAAATTACTGTGGCGAGTTTGATAATGCTGGTGGAATGATGAGTGTGGATGAAACTTTGATGTGTTCGTTTCAGGTATGATATAAATACATATAAATCAGTTTTATTCAAAAGTGATTATCTGGGACGCCTGGGTGGCTCAGTCAGTTGGTCATCTGCCTTTAGCTCTGGTCATGGTCCCAGGGTCCTAGGATTAAACCCCGGGTGGGGCTCCCTGCTCTGTGGGGAGTCTGTTTCCCCTCTTCTCTGCCCCTCCCCCTCTGCTCATGATCTGTCTCTCACTTTCTCTCTCTCTCAAATACTTTTTTTAAAAAAAAGTGATTATCACAGATTTGTTAGATTTCTGTTTTCATTCACAAAGGTTCCAGACTTTTTGGTATATATCAGATATTAGAGTTTTGGAGAACCTAAGTTAATCATTCTTGATGCAGATGTTTAAATTGTTAAATTCCTGTATCATTTCTTGGAATAGGGTCTTAACCTACTAAAAGAATGTGAATTCAATTAATAACTTAGCTTTTGTTTCCTTTTGCAAGAAATAGACCAGCTCTGGCTTTATAGTGTGCTACTTTTTTTTTTTTTATGTATGTTAATCACCATACATTACATCATTAGTTTTTGATGTAGTGTTCCATGATTCATTGTTTGCATATAACACCCAGTGCTCCATGCAGTATGTGCCCTCTTTAATACCCATCACCAGGTTAACCCATCCCCCCACCCCCCTCCCCTCTAGAACCCTCAGTTTGTTTCTCAGAGTCCATAGTCTCTCTGTAGTGTGCTACTTTAAAATGATTCTTGTTCACAGACAAAACAACTTCAATGCTTTGTTTTTGCAAAGGGTTTTATGTTCCTCTCGTGCATGTACTATATTCCTCTTTCTCTAAATGTAAAGGGGCTTTCCTATCCTTCCTTCCTTTTATTATATTACACTGTTTCTATCAGCTAGTACAATTGAATGGTAAATATGTGACTTCTTATTTATAATTTAAGCATAGGAACTAGACCTTATCCTTCAACATTTAGCATAGTGGAATTGGATTAATTTCTTTTTCACTGAGACACTAGGACACTTTGAATAGTTCTAAGAAATGCTTTATATATCTTTTCTACACAATTTTTTGTGTAAATACTGAAATTTTCTGTCTATAATGTAGGTTAAAGGTTTATTTACACCCACTAGAATAAATACAATAAAAAAGTCAGACAATAACAAGTGTTGGTGAGGATGTGGAGAAGTTGGAATCTTCATACATTGATGGTGGGAATGTAAAATGGTGCAACTGCTTTTGGAAACTCTGGCAGTTCCTCAAAAAGTTAAACATAGAGTTTCTATATGGCCCAGCAATTCTACCCATAGGTATACCCAAAAGAATTGAAGGGAGGTACTCAAATACAAGTATATGCATATTCATAGGAGCATTATTTATAATTGCCAAAATGTGGAGACCTAAAGAATGAAAACAAAATGTGGAATATCCATTAAATGACATATTGTTTGACAGTTAAAAGTAATGAAGTACTGATACATGCTACAACATGAATGAACCTCAAAAACATCTCCGTGAGAGGAGCCAGTCACAAAAGACCACATACTGTATGACTTCATTTATGTGAAATAACCAGAAAAGACAAATCAATAGAGAAAGATTAGTGTTTCCTTGGAGTTGAAGGGAGTTACTCGGGTAGTAGAGAATGGAAATGTGGAGTGATTGCTTATGGGAGCAGGATTTCTTTTGGGGTGATAAAAACTCTAAAATTAGATTATAGCAGTGGTCATACAGCTCTGTATTTTAAAAATCATTGACTTGTACATTGGACTTTATGATATGTAAAATACATAAATATATATTTTTTAAGATCTACACATAAAGTAAGATTAAAGAGTTTGTGACTAATTACCGTCTAAATAAATAGTGGTAGGGTCCATTAACATATAGCATGATACTAGTTTCAGGAGTAGAATTTAGTGACTCATCACTTACATACAACACCCAGTGCTCATCACAGCAAGTGCCCTCCTTATCCCCATCACCCAGTTAACCCATCCCCCTGCAAACCTCCCCCAGTCAACCCTCAGTTTGTTCTCTATAATTAAGAGTCTATTTTATGGTTTATGGTTTGCTTGTCTCCCTTTTGTTTTTCTTGCCCTTGTGTTCCTCTGTTCTGTCATACGGTATTGGTCTTTCTCAGACTGACTTATTTTGCTTGGCATAATGCACTGTAGTTCCATGCCTTTGCAACGGCAAGATTTCATTCTTTTCTGTGGCTAATACTCCACTGTAGATCTGTACCACATCCTTATCCATTCCTCAGTCGATGGACATTTGTCTCTTTCCATAATTTGGCTATTGTTGATAATGCTGCTGTAAATATCAGGATGCATGTATCCCTTTGAATCAGTATTTCTTTGTATCCTTTGGGTAAATATTTAGTAGTGCAGTTGCTGAATTGTAGAGTAGTTCTATTTTTAACCTTTTGAGGAACCTCCAGAGTCGCTGCACCAGTTTGCATTCCACCAGCAGTGTAAGAGGGATCCCCTTTCTCCACATCCTCGCCAACATCTGTTGTTTCCTGTGTTAAATTTAGCCGTTCTGACAGGTGTGAGATGATACAGTGTAGTTTTGATTTGTATTTCCCTGATGATGAGCATTTTTTCATGTGTGTAGCCAACTCGATCTTTGACTCATAAACTAAGTGTTCTTTGCCCACCATAGAGATATGGTAATTCACTTCTTTCTCTTTTTCTTTTCTTTCTTTTTTTTTCCACTTGAGGTGCCTGGGTGGCTCAGTTGTTTAAGTATCCGACTCTTGATTTTGCCTCAGTTCATGATCTCAGGGTCATGAGATTGAGCCCTGCATTGGCTCCATGGTGATACGCTGGGAGTGGAGCCTGCTTGAGTCTCTCCCTTTACCCACTCCGCCAACTCCCCCATGTGCACACCTTCTCTTTCTCTCTCTCAAAATAAAGTAATTAAAGTAAAAAAAATTTTTTTTTTTTTACGTGAAGGATTGGGTAGTTGATAGGATTTGTGTGCTTGAGCTTTTGTTATTAAATTATTAATGGAATGACAAATAATAGCAATATTCAGATATTTAGTTATCTATGCACACTTTAAATGTGAGAAATGTTCATGAAACTTTTCTGGTTTTTTCTATATTTTTATTGCAATTTGTGTAATTATGTAAATACTTTATTTACAATTTGTTATTTCTTGAAAAGTCCATTTTTATAACAGTTTTCCTTAACTTATTGCACTTGAAAGAATAACACTGTTAATAAATTATTTACTTTAAGATATTGAAACCATCTGAAAAGAAAGCTAAGTACCAGTATGGTGGACTGAATTCAGGACGTCCTGTCACTCCACCTCGAACAGCTAATCCACCGAAGAAAAGGTGAAGAAAGGAATTCTGTAAAGAATCCATCAGATTTGTTAAGGACATACTTCATAATATATAAGTGTGCACTGTAAAACCATCCAGCCATTTGACACCCTTTATGATGTCACACCTTTAACTTAAGGAGACGGGTAAAGGATCTTAAATTTTTTCTAATAGAAAGATGTGCTACACTGTATTGTAATAAGTATACTCTGTTATAATATTCAGCAAAGTTAAATCCAAATTCAAAATTACCCATTAAAGTTACATCTTCACGTATCACAGTTTTTAAAGTTGAGAAGCATCCCAGTTAAACTAGATGTGATAGTTAAACCAGATGAAAGCATGATGATCCATCTGTGTAATGTGGTTTTAGTGTTGCTTGGTTGTTTAATTATTTTGGGCTTGTTTTGTTTTGTTTTGTTCTGTTTTTGCTAGAATAATGGCAAATATTTTAAATTTTTTTTCCCTGAACATTTTTACAAGTGAAATGTGGGAAGAGCTTTAAAGACATTCACCAACTATCATTTTCCCTTGCTTATTTACTTATGTACCTGTTTGATCTTACTAAGAAAACTTACGCCTTATTACAGTAAAAAGGAATTTTAGAGATTGATATTTTTTAAAAAATAGGCAAACTATCCAATCCAGTGATTGAATCAAACAGTTTGACTGGGCAAACTTTACAGCTGATAGTGAATATTTTGCTTTATACAGAAATTGCCACTGATTTGGATTTGTGCACTCTAATTTTTAACTTATTGATGCTCTATTGTGCAGTAGCATTTCATTTAACTTTAAGATAAGGCTCATATAGTGTTACCCAACTAGTTGGTAATGTGATTATGTGGTACCTTGGCTTTAGGTTTTAATTCGCACGAAACACCTTTTGGCATGCTTAACTTTCTGGTAACACCCTCACCTGCATTGGTTTTGGTTTTTTTTGGGGGGGGGGGGGGGGGTTTGGTTTTTTTTTTTTTTTTTTTGGGTTTTTTGTTGTTGTTCTTGTTGCTATTTGTTTTTAGATCCACAGAACATGAGAATCCTTTTTTGACAAGCCTTGGAAAGCTGACACTATCTGTTTTTTCCTCCCTCTGTACGAAGGATGTATTTAAATGAATGCTGGTCAGTGGGACATTTTGTCAACTATGGTTATTGGGTGCTTAACTGTCTAATATTGCCATGTGAATGTTGTATACGATTGTAAGGCTTATGTCACTAAAGATTTTTATTCTGATTTTTCATGATCAAAGTTCATACAATATTGTATAGACATGCTTTGTAGTGAACTATAGTAGCAATAATTTCTGTACATGATCAAGGGTTTATTGCAGCATTTCTTTTCCTGTTCTCTTTTTTTAAAGGGTTAGTATTAACAAATGACAAGGAGTAGAAAAGTCAACATAAAGATTTTAGAAGGAGAACTTAACAGGACACAGATTTGTGATTCTTTGGATGCGACCCTTTTGGATGTGATTCTAAAAGCTTTTATTGAGTATTGTCAAATTTGTAAGCTTCATAGGGATGGACATCATATTTATAATGCCCTTCTTCTGTATGTGCTACCATTGATGTGAAATTCTTGACCTTAATATTGTCTTTGAAAATGTTCAATTGAGAATTCTGTTAACTTACATTTTATGAATTGGCGTATTGTATTACTGCAAGAGATTTGATTTTCAGCACAGTGCAAAGTTCTTTCAAATGCATATGTCTTTTTTTCTAATTCCATTTTGTTTTAAAGCACATTTTAAATGTAGTTTTCTCATTTAGTAAAAGTTGTCTAATTGATATGAAGCCTGCCTGGTCATTTTATTCCTTTTTTCCCCCCCCTTTATAATGAGACATTTAAGCACACATTCTGTTCAAACAGATTTTAACATCTTTGACATATATTGAGTTGATTCTTTTCTGGAGGTGTTCATATACTACATATGATGTATTAGGTTAGGTTACACAGGCTTTTATGTAATGTGATTTAAATATCTTCCTAATTGGAGTGTAAGTTGAGCAGTTTCTAATAGAATTTTAGATGTGCTCTTGTAGTCATAGTGAAGCAGATCTAGAAAAATAAATCTTTGGCAGGAGACAGGGCAGCCTTTTATTAATCTCAGTGTTGTCAAGACATATTAATTTGGATTTGACTTACTGTGGTTTGTTTTTTTTTATTATGTTAATCACCATGCATTACATCATTAGTTTTTGATGTAGTGTTCCATGATTCATTGTTTGCATATAACACCCAGTGACTTACTGTGTCTTTATAATAATTCATCCAGGTCAGTATTGAATATGAAAAAATAGTCACTAAGCATATTAATATTGGTCACTAAATTTAAAGGATAGAAATTTATGTTTAAAAATTATTCAAGCCACAGGGCTCCTGGCTGGCTCAGTTGGAGGAGCATTATGACTCTCGATCTTCAAGGTTGTGAGTTTGAGCCCCACGTTGGGTATAGAGATTACTAAAAAATAATAATAGAGGCACCTGGGTGGCTCAGATGGTTAAGCGTCTGCCTTTGGCTCGGGTCCTGATCCTGGGTTCCTGGGATCGAGCCCCACATCAGGCTCCTGGCTCAGCGGGAAGCCTGCTTCTCCCTCTCCCTCTGCCTCTCCCCATGCTCATGCTCTCTCTCTCTCTCTCTGTGTCTCAAATGAATAAATAAAATCTTTAAAAATAATATAATAAATATTACTCAGGCAGTCTTAAAACCACTTTAAAAGTTTCATATAATGTGTTACAAATATTACTTAGTTGATAACACTGCTACTTCAAATAAATAAAACTTCATTTCTTAGGAGAAAAATATCCTGTGATTCTAGTGTCACTAATTTATATCATTCTTCCTCTCTGATTTTTAATTTCTGTATTCAAATTTATCTTTAATCCAGATGTCATGGCTTTTAAAATTAAACATGCTGATGTGAGGGATCACAGATTATTAGGTTACATTTTTGTTAGTTCCTAAATGGAAAAAATCAACTACAATGTGTGCTACCCCTTGTGTTTGAAACTTTAACATTCGTCATTTTAATTTTGCCTAGGGACAAATTTAATCATGATCGTCAAGACTGGTTTGTGCAAAATGTTGAGTCAATACCAGCAAGAAGAATTTAAAGCTTTAAAACATGGTTAGTTAATTGGAAGTGTTAAGAGTGTTCAAGGGATATATATGCCTTTCAAAAAAAATTCATCTGAGGGAAAGCCAGGAACATCTTGAGATGTGTCCCTTAAGAACATAAAAGTGTATTCATTGAGCCAAAGAACTGAAATAGTATCTTCATTTATAAGTTCAGGTATGTTCATTCCTTTGTCTCCTTGGCAACCATAACTCTTGAACCAAAACAACAGTTACTTTCTTTCACATCTATATACTAAAAATGTGTTTAGAGAAGAAAACTGGTCAGGTTTGCTCTGCTCTATGTACATTGACCTAATCCACCTCCTCATTTCCTTATGATCCATCCCTGAATCAAAGCTGTGCCTGAGAAGACACTAAATAGCCTGACTATACCAGTGGCATCCAGTTAGAAATACTATGTCCTTTTTTGCTAATAGTTTTCAGTGTTTTATAATTTCCTTAAACACCTAAGAAGTGGTTAAAGGGATTTTAAAGTGACAGCATACCTTGTGAAATGAACAGGAGTTACATAAGGCATAAACTGATTCCATGTAAGTACACACATAGAGCTTTATTATCTTTATTCTCTTTAAACTTTGTTCAACAAAAGTGAAATTTAGATTTAGTGTAATAATTTTGATCTGTTAAAATTGGATTTTACCTGTACATTTGAATTCCAGAATTTCTAAACAATTCCATAATTAGAAAATTATAAAAGTTAAAACTTACTTCCTCAGCCACCACCTTCTACATTGTTTGACTTATAAACTTTGTCACTGTAATTTACTTTCTCATTCAGGTCTCTAGCTCTCAGGTGTGAGGGGTGGAGTCACTTGAGAAATCATTTTTTGGTAGAACTCATGAAACTACTCAATTTACCAAATTAAAATTAATAACCTACTTTATTAACCTCAGAAGAAATGTGTGAAGCCCTGTACCCAACTTTCAACATGTAACTGTTGTATCTAACTAAAGAAAGGAATTTTAAAAACAAGTCCCAGGGTACCTGGGTGGCTTAGTTAAGTGTCTGCCTTCGGCTCTGGTCATGATCCCAGAGTACTGGGATCGAGTCCCACATCGGGCTTCCTGCTCAGCGGGGAGCCTGCTTCTCCCTCTCCCTCTGCCTGCCGCTCTGCCTACTTGTGCTCTCCTATCTCTCTGTCAAATAGATAAAATCTTAAAAAAAAACCAAGTCCCTATCTCCCAGAATAATTGCCTCAGGTTTTGTAGTCCATGTCCGGTTGGGGCCTCGTAACTCCATTGAGGTTAATCTGATAATATCCCAGATCTAGGTTAAAAAGCTTTGTGTTACTGTACTGTAACACCTGTTTTGAATGAGGTACCTAAATCTTTCATCAGCTGAGCTCCCTAACCTCTTTGGGTGTGCTCGTTGACAGACTAACACAAACTGTGGCCTATTCCATTTTCTAAAGAAAATCAATTATTCACTGTACAGATTGATTAGTATGTTGGGCATTCCTTCAAGACTTTGTTGTATTTGGCCCTTAGAAGCCTTTGGGCTTCTCAGTTTATTTGTGACTAGAATGTAAGCTCCTATAGGCAAAGATTTTTGTCTTTTTTTTGCCCCCCCACTGGTGTATCTCTAGCTTCTAGAGTGCTGCCTGGCATATAGTAGGCATGCAGATGTTTTTTTTTTAATGAATGCAAGTGAGTTTCAAAACTTACTATTTTGACATGACCTTTTGGAGAAAATAGCCCAAAAAAATACAGTTCCAATTTTCATTTATCCTCAGTGTATTGTCAAAACTATAATCTTCATTTGGTAAAATATTGGTAAATATGAGAAGTTGTGGGGCGCCTGGGTGGTTCAGTTGGTTGGGTGTCCAATTTGATTTCAGCTCAGGTCATGATCTGAGTGATCATGAGATTGTGAGATTGAGCCCCATGTGGGCTCTGCACTGAACATGGAGCCTGCTTAAGATTCTCTCTCCCTCACCTTCTTCCCCTCCTCACAACTCGCATGCTCTCTCTCTCAAAAATAATAATAATTTTAAAAATATGAGTTGTGTCTAGTTACTTGAAGCAACATTTCCCAGCTAGCACCTGACAGGCATATTGGGGAAATTACCTCTTGTTCACAATCAAACTTGCCAAGATCTTTATGGTTCCTTTCTTGCCCCTCCCCCTTTCTGTAGTCTAGGTTCTCTGTTTAATTGACCTTAAAGTCACCTTTGTTGTGAACTACTTGAAACATTTTTAGAAAAGTGGTATAGTGTAACATTTTGTCTTTCAAAAGTCACCTAGTATTTATGAACACTTAAAAAAGTTAGGAATCTAAACTTCAAAGTGGAGAAGCTGTTGCCTCAATTTAACAAATAAGGATTATGTCATAGGCAGAAGCAAGTATGGGAAAACATTTTCAGTAAGGAACAAAAAAACGAGGTACAGTGAAAAGCATTCTAGAGAGAAATTTAATGCAATGCTTTTGTTTGATTATCGTTCCATCCTGATACTTCTCAGGAGTTTTTGTTGCTTCCAATATAAAAGAGTAGACAGCCACACTGAATTCTGGGTCCTAGTGCAAAATTCCAGGAAGAGAATTTGGCCCAGCTTGGATGAAAGGCCTTTATGACTCCCAACAAGTGAAGAGAAATTATATTGTATGAATATAGCTGCTATCCTTGCACCCAAGTGGTTTGGGAGGTTGAGTAGGATATTTCCAAAAAAAAAGGGTGCTGAAAAAAAAATCCAAAGGTGTTCTCTATGACATACTTTAATAAAAGATAATCTAGTCACAAAAAGGCTGAAAATACAAAGTTGGCAAAGTGTAGACTAATGGGAGCTCTTAAAATTGGTACAACGAGGGGCTCCTGCTGGGTCAGTTGGTAGAGCGTATGACTCTTGATCTCAGGGTCAGGAGTTTGAGCCTTACATTGGGCATATAGATTACTTAAAATAATAAAATGTGTACAGCTACCTGGGAAATGAGATTAGCATTTCATTTTTGCATACCCTAAAACCCATCATTTTCACTTTAAAGCATTTATAGGAAAACTACACCCGTGCACCATGGGGCATATACAAGCAGTAGTAGTTGAATATTTGAAACATGGGCACCAACCGATCAGACCACGCAACTAATCTGTGCCAGCTATAACTAACCAATATAGTCTTACAGAAGCACAGCCACTGATAACCAAGTCTGTGTAACAAGAAGGCTCATAGCTTTCAGAGTAGCAAAAAATGACCCAAATGGCCATTGACAGGAGCATGGTGATAATTACAGTATATATATAGAATAGAATTCTATACAACAATAAAAATGATTTACAATGTTCTGTATCAGCATGTTAAAATCTCAAACTATGAAGAATACAGAGTATTAAATTTACAAACAAAATCTGTATATTTATTTTTAAAGATTTTATTTGACAAAGAGAGCGAGGGAGAGCAGGAATACAAGCAGCAGGAGTGGGAGAGGGAGAAGCAGGCTTCCCCTCAAGGAGGGAGCCTGATGTGGGACTCGATCTCAGGACCCTGGGATCATGACCTGAGCTGAAGGCAGACACTTGACTGAGCCACCCAGGCGCCCCAAAATCTGTGTTTAAAGGTACAGTAAATCTTAAGGGAATGGGAAACACCAAAGTCACCTCTTCAAGGAAAGTAAGGGGAGGAGGAGAAACATACAGGATCTCATCAGTATTGTTTATGTTC